TATGATTTAATAGCACAAAAAGTTAATGGGTTTACGTATCATGTGAATTTATATGATTAATGCTTACCTGTGATTTGTGGATAACTAGAGATAATGATTCCTTTTTTCCATTGATATTGCATAAATATTTTCCAAAGTATTATGTTACAATAAATTGGTTTAGATTTTTTTTATGAAAGTAATCAATAATTACAATGGAAATTAAAACCATAATCATGTTCATTGAGGATTTTCAATATGTAACAGGTCAAACAGGAACTTCAATTGTGAACATTGCAGAGAACACACCCATCAGAAGATGACCCTCAGAAATAGGACAATTGTAAGTAATTAGTAAAATGAACAGGAATACTTCATGCCAACCATAAGATTTTAATTTTAGAGACATTTTCGCTTCTTAAATTAGAAGAGATAGAGGGAAAAACTTGTACATACTACATAACTACTAGGCAACCAACCTTTAACTGCAGGAAAGCTTTTGATATGTGCAATACAGCTACATAAAACCTCTTTAGTATTCATGTTAAGTTTGAGAAAGTCCCTTAGTATTTTTTCTAGTTTTTGCCAACATTTTCGTGCAAACTGTTTGCTTGTTTGTACTACATGTATCATTTTATTTTAAATTCTTCAGATGCCCTTTACCTTTGCCAGTTTATAATCGTTTGTTTTAAGGGCATCTGAGGGTTGGTTCCAGAACTTAATTGTAAAGTAAATACTGGGGTACTATACGGTCATAGGTTATGTTAATACATGTATAACATTTTGTTCTGATAGAGGTGGCATGCAGGAAAAGAAACAATACTAGATATCACTTCAAAGGAATAAATCAGCTTCATCTTATATGTGTATTTTATTTAAGGATCACTACTTCATGTCTGATGTGCTGAAAGTTATTTATAACCTGTTTGACTGTAATTTTTCATATTTTCAACTTCTATCCAGCTTAGTCAATTTCAATTAAATTTTGTGCAAAGCATACCCCAGGAAAGGGGGATGGAGTGTCAAGTGTGTCTCTGTCCCTGTCAATATAATTTCAAAGCAGTTAGTAAGGTTTGGGTCAATTTTAAATCCTCTTTAGCAGAACCATTGGGCTAAAAACAATACTAATGTGAAAGCTTTATCATTAAGTGTAGAGATGTTTTTGAAGACTGATAGTGTTACATTAGAAGTCTAAAATTTGCAAGGAATAGATGTAAAATCTTTTTAAAATCTTCTTCTTAACAATCAGAAACTAACATACTTCTAATTAATATGCAACATCGTTTTGTGTGTTGAATGATGATTCCATTTTGATAAAATTATGGCGGATGGGGGGGTAGGATGAAGATGCAGTTAGACATAGAAGAAAAAAAAAGAGTTGATAAAATTTAATTGTTCTTCCATTTTATTTATCAATACATATTTCTGAATAAGAAATATACTTCTACTTTTTGGTTGGGTTTGATCAACATAAAGGATGATCTTGCTGTAGTCAAGAAAAACATGTTTTATACGGCAAAGAAATGCCTTTATCTAATTGCAGAATGAATAAAATGGACAGAGGCAGAACTGAAGGAGATGCATGAAATGAGGAATATTTCAAAGATTGCCTGAGCATAACCACTGCTACTGGATAAACATATGGCAATATAAAAGAGCAGGGTCAATGGAGGTATCATACAGTATAGGCCATGAGAGACCCTGAAGAAGAAAGTATTGAACAGAAACAAAAATAAAACCATTTTGACATTTATTGAAATATAGGATCAAAGTCTTACATGTAAAATTTGGGCATATAATGACTTTTCTCTAGCTCTAAGACTTATAACAGTGATGATTTGATTTAATATCTTTATCCCGATTTGTCGAAAAGATTTGGATATAGTGCATCAATTATTTTAAAGTTTTGATACAACGAATTCATTCATTGTACTTGTAACTGAGTTTTCTGGTGCGACACTGTTTTATCGGCTTCAAAACTAAGTTTGTGATTTCCAAACCAGATTAATGAGATCATGTAATATCTTTTTTACATCGGTGACTATTTAATCCATTCTTTTACATCTCAGAAGTATTTTTATTATTACAGGGAAAATATGCATTGTACATGTATCTGTAATAAACAGGATTATAGAAATTTTCCATATAATACAACACAATCTTAGCAACTGAGGGCAAATATTTTATTAAGGGTGTGATCTATTTATCAATATGGTTTTCAGTATCTTGCTCTACCTGTAATGACTTGCTCCAAGTTCCAATATTTAAATTTAAATTTTGCAAACATGGTTATAAAATTCTTTAAAAGCCAAATAGTTTAGGCACAAAATGCTTACATATTTCCTATCATTTGTAAAGTGTACACTGAATGAGATGTGGAATGTTAGAATTAAAGTATTAAATATGTTTTGGGCTTATGTATGCTTATGCAGATAAATTGAATTCAACTAGGGAAGATAAATGCCATACTTATAGGGTTTGCAATCTAATGCTAGAGTATAAATATCCAAGACAAATTTGACAATTTTAATGAAGGGTATAAGTAACCCAGAAGAATTGGACAGGTAAACATCACCTGTTGGGTTTTATTCTAATGCTGGATTGTAATATCCAAGAAGAGCTAAACCAATGTCCAATACCTATTGGGTTTTCTTTCTTATGAAAAAAAAATTTGAGTAACCCAAGAAGAATGTCCAATACCTTTTAGTTTATATACTATTGAAGGGATGAAGATATCCAAGAGGAATTGGACAGGTGTCCATTACATGTTGGGTAGTATTCTGATGAGGGGATTCTCAAGAAACCCAAGAATTAGACAAGTGTCCATTGCCTGTTGGGTGGGATGTAGATATCCAAGAGGAGTTGGACAGATGTCCATTACCTGTTGGGTGGTATTCTGATGAAACAATTCAAGAAACCCAAGAAGAATTGGACTGTTGGGTGGGATGTAGATATCCAAGAGGAGTTTGACGGATGTCCATAACATGTTGGGTGGTATTCTGATGAAACAATTCAAGAAACCTAAGAAGAATTGGACAAGTGTCCATTACCTGTTGGGTAGGATGTAGATATCCAAGAGGAGTTGGACAGGTGTCCATTACCTGTTGGGTTGTATTTTATGAGGAGATTCAAGAAACCCAAGAATTAGACAAGTGTCCATTGCCTGTTGGGTGGGATGTAGATATCCAAGAGGAGTTGGACAGATGTCCATTACCTGTTGGGTGGTATTCTGATGAAACAATTCAAGAAACCCAAGAAGAATTGGACAAGTGTCCATTACCTGTTGGGTGGGATGTAGATATCCAAGAGGAGTTGGACAGGTGTTCATTACTTGTTGGGTTGTATTTTATGAGGAGATTCAAGAAACCCAAGAATTAGACAAGTGTCCATTGCCTGTTGGGTGGGATGTAGATATCCAAGAGGAGTTGGACAGGTGTCCATTACCTGTTGGGTGGTATTCTGATGAAACAATTCAAGAAACCCAAGAAGAATTGGACAAGTGTCCATTACCTGTTGGGTGGGATGTAGATATCCAAGAGGAGTTGGACAGGTGTCCATTACCTGTTGGGTTGTATTTTGATGATGCAATTCAAGAAACCCAAGAATTAGACAAGTGTCCATTGCCTGTTGGGTGGGATGTAGATATCCAAGAAGAGTTGGAGAAATGTCCATTACCTGTTGGGTGGTATTCTGATGAAACAATTCAAGAAACCCAAGAAGAATTGGACAAGTGTCCATTACCTGTTGGGTGGGATGTAGATATCCAAGAGGAGTTGGACAGGTGTCCATTACCTGTTGGGTTGTATTTTGATGATGCAATTCAAGAAACCCAAGAATTAGACAAGTGTCCATTGCCTGTTGGGTGGGATGTAGATATCCAAGAAGAGTTGGAGAAATGTCCATTACCTGTTGGGTGGTATTCTGATGAAACAATTCAAGAAACCCAAGAAGAATTGGACAAGTGTCCATTACCTGTTGGGTGGGATGTAGATATCCAAGAGGAGTTGGACAGGTGTCCACAACCTGTTGGGTTGTATTTTGATGAGGAGATTCAAGAAACCCAAATAGAATTGGACAATGTACACATGTTCAATTGTTCTTGGGTAGTTTAATCCCTTCGTCAAAATACAACCCAACAGGTATAGGACACCTGTCCAATGCCTGTTGGATACCTTCATTCTGTCCAACATGTAACGGGCATTTGCTTATTATTAATTGGTCATGACTCAAAAAGGTTTCTCCTTGAATACTTAATTTTGTTATTCAAGAAAGTTTGAACAGAGTCTGAGATGTATATACAGGTGTATATCCTTATTGCTAAGAAGAAATTAGTTAGATGTTACAATAAAAGAGCTATATTACAGAAATTGACAAAAATATGGGTTCAAAACCAAAGGTTTTCAGTCTTGTCTGAATTTACCAGCAAACATTTAATATATAATATAAATTTGAAATGAATAAAAAACAATAAGAAAAAACCCAATAAAATACGGACACGAGGATTAATATCCAATAAGATTTGAACAGTAACTACCCAAATAATGCTCTCTCGTGTGTACACTTTTTTTGTTTCCAATAAGCAGTATCCAATAGGACTTGGACTTGATGTACCCAATATATAACCAAATGTGTGTCCGTCCGTCCGTCCGTCCGTCCGTCTGTTACGCTTTTTCTCTTATCCGCAACTCCTCTTATACTACTGAGTGAAATTGAAAGAAACTTTCACAGAATCTTCATTACATATTGCCATTGTGCACCTCCTATTTTACTTTTTTATTCGACACGTATTTTAGGTTTTCCAGAGCAAAACATGGACATTGCCATTTTTTGTTTACCTATGACGTCACATAATAGAAGCTTCTGGATAACATTTGACGGGACGAGTTATTCCTCTTTACACATTACCGTAAAACAATATAAAGCAACACATCGACATTATGGGAGGCGGGGGGTATCATTTAGTGAGCTCATTGCTCACAGTACCTCTAGTTATAATAGGGCAAAAACACTCCTCTTCTTACCTAACGTTCCTGTCGCTTTTCCGGCAATATGCAATGTGTAATCGTCGTCTTCTCCGGATATAGAGAACGTGTCATACTGTCTATAGAGGGTAGTGCCGTTCTTTGCTGTAATGCTCACATACAACAAACTGCTGTTATCCTTTGTCAGTTCATGTATGGCGTCATTACCTTAAGAAAAAAAGCATTTTAGACTTTATTTTTCGAAAATATTAAATTTATTGAATCAATCTAAAAACCAAAAGAAAATTTTAATATGTTGGGAATGTGGAGAGAAGAGACTGTATTTATTCACATATTTATGTCATGAGTATGATTAGCTTAGAAAGTATATAACCTATCCAGTAGCTCGTTGATGGATCGCCAAATCCATCCTTATATTCTTCCCAACTTCTGCTGAAATTTACCTTGCCATCAACTCTACTCTGTATCACCTGTTTATAATATTTTGAAAAGTAAATCATTAATTCGTTTTAAAAACGCACGTATTTTATCCATCAATCATAAATCTTAAGAGATAGAAATAAAAATTATTACTTTTTGCATACTCAAAACATTATCTATCCGGCGGGGAGTTCAGAACTTAATCAAAATAATATATACTTTTTTTAAAGATGTCTGAATACTAAAAACATTCCCGCAATTTGTACCGCTAAGGCAATTAAGGAAATCTCAATTTTTTTTACACTAAAACTTGTATAATTCAGATGATGTGTATTTCAAAATCTTGCTATAAGTAAACCTTTGCACCTTTTCGTAAATTAAGTTTAAGAACCAATTTTCAATAGAACCAGTAGTGTTCGGATTAGACAAGTGGTAACTGTACTTACAGTCCACCCCCCTCCGGCCGTTGACATATCACACTGGACTTGTATTGGATTCTTCTTGGAATCATAATTGTCCCATGGATAGATATCATATACAGCAGATGTTCTGATACCATTCTCATATAATTTTTTGCAGTCTTTCGAAAACCTGTAATTAAATGATGTTGTTGAATTTATTGATTGATTGATTGATTGTTTGATTAAATGTATGTTGTTTTGTCAACATATACCGGCGAAGGGCTTCAAATTTAGACCTATACTCGGCACTTACGGACATTGAGCAGTGAGAGATTTTTATAGTGGCAACGCCTACACGGCCGGGAGACTTTGGTATGAAAGATCTCATCCGAAGACCTGTGATTTTCACTGCATGTACCCGGCACTTGGCCAAGGAATAGTCACTATATTTGTTCACGTCTTATGTTTGAAACCGCACTCAGAACGTGAATAGAATCAAGTTTTCTTTTTTCTCGTATTTCTTACATCGTCGTTTGAATTTGATATCCCTAAATAAATTATATATTTCATGAAGATGTTAGATTTTCAAAAGAGATCGTTGTAAACCTCTTGAAAAAAATACACTGTGCTTCATATACAATTTTCTGGCCTGGGGGGGGGGGATTAGTCAGGTACATTATACCGTATAGCGGGTTTTCTTGGCGGTTGTAAAATTTGGCGTTTTGCCTTCTCAAAGGTATGCCAATAATTTTGGCGTCATTTATTTTAGCGGACAGAGGGTTTCAGGCCTTCACAGATGAACACTAAGAAGAGTACTGACTATTTTAGCGAAAACAATTTTAGCGGGCTACAATCAAAACGCCAAAATAAGCCAAAATTAAAACCCCGCTAAAATAACCCGCTATACTGTATGACGTTTCATTAAATACCACAAGTAGTTCTAAGATTATCGGTTAACAACATCTTTGTGACAATAAACATACGTTGAAAGAGTAACACTGGTACAATGATAGTTTGCGGATAAATTAGGGCAATGGAATTCCCTTGTATATAAAGGACTTGTAGAATCAACCTTTTTTATGGTGGGGGAAAGGGGAGGGAGATTAGGAATTTTCCTAAACTGACTAAGCCAATTTTCATTGCCAAAATATTAAGGTTTCGTGTTTCCAAAAGGGAAGGGAGTTCAAGGTCATCTTTTCGTTATGTTACATAGAAATTCAATAACTGAGTTTAATGACTTCAAATTCCAAAGGAATCCGGAACCCGACCCCTTCTTTATTTTCGGATGAAAACTAAGAAAATAGACTCTTTTAGAATTTTATTTCCTACATTTATACATTGTGTCTTTGTATTTTGTACAAAGCACTCACCAGTTACATGGAAGAGATTCTCATCAGTTGTGTGTTGGATACGTTTTGAGCTGCACGAAGATTATCCAGAGAAAGTGAAAATCTTCGTAAACTGTCTTCAAAAACTTGTACACGTGAACTTAAGTTATCTTGTTTCTCTGTGGTCTCCATCCGCTTGTTCAAAATTTCTAATTCTTGTTGGAAAGCAGTCTTAGATTCATTTAAGTTTTGAATATGTTCTGTCAAGAGAGTTTTTACATCACCTAGCCTTAACATATGTGCTTCATTACTGTTTTTGTTGTCTTTTATCTCCATCTTCAAACTCTGAATATTCTGTTGAAACTCTTTTTTCTCTTCTTCCTTTGTCATTTTTAAATAACCGAATGTTTTATTAAACTCTCCGAGCTGTTTTTTGATTTCTGTAGTATCTAAAGTTATCCAATCATTTTTTTTTTCTGTAGACGAGAAGTTTGGTTTTTGAGAAAAAGTAATTCCTTCTCGTGTAAAGTCTTTAATGATTCTATGTTATGGTTATTTTGATCACTCAGAGCCTTCAGTTCCTTGCACAGTCTTTCGTTCTCGTCCTCCATGTGACGGTTTTTCACGTTAAGAGTGTGTAGTTCTTCTGAAACGTCATTCAGTTTCTTTTTCACATATTCTATATCATTTTTGCTATCTGTTGCATCCCACACCAAACCCTGCATTTTCTACATCATTGAAAACCGAACTAAGCTCTCCTGATTCAAGATGTCCCTTAATACATTTGATACTTTATCAGATGTGATACTACCCAATACATTTTGTGCTTGCAAGGCATCGTTTTCTTTTGAATTCAGCTGACCAAATCTCTCAAAAATAGAGAAAAGTAGATAAATTAGTTTAAAAGTTCCCATCTCTAGTGAGCTTCTTTAAGCAGAGCTTCACTTTGTCCGAATAATATTGCTATTTAACAAATGTATTTATACAAAATTAACAGATACGCACTTGACATCATGTGTTTAAATACTTGACAACAAAACTTTGTCTAGGGCCAAAGGATGTTTCTGACGAAGTTTTATATATGTATGTCAAAAAGACTTCTTATAACACAAGGATTTTTTTATTACTTAAATACTTATACTTTTTGAAGTATAAGTGTATACTTAAACAACCCTCTGTCCACGAAACGTGTAAATGGAAATTATTTATTACCAATTTACAATAAGTTTTTTTACTTATGTTATAAGAAATTTATATATTTATATATTGAGACTATTTCGACTTCCTCCTTTGTTTAGAGTCCATGTAGGATTAGTTTTGTTGTTATGAAATTCGAAATAAACACAAATTAAAATCGACACATGCACATGTTTGAAATGCAAATTTACTGGTTTACAAAAAACTTGTTGTTTCGTTAAACTAAAAGCTTAAAATGTTCTGGGGTTTTTTTTTTCTTTTTAGCTAGTATATATTCCCGGAAAAATAGATAGATTTTTTTTTTAATTTAGGATGGAAGAAAAAACTGTATGGCGTATCTGAGCTAAAACAAATGCAGAAATAAGAATTTAAGTGTAGATTTATATGATATTTGTTATCTACGTTCAAATTAAAATTTTCACCGAATTTGAAAATAAATACACCCACCTGTCTATGGTTAAACTGACTTTACGAGGGTTGTCCGTAAAGTTCGTGGACAAGCTCAAATTTAAAGAAAGATGGTGTCATTGATATTTATTTTTAACATATTCATAATCCTTTACTGAATCTCAATAACAGAATGTAAAATTATATTCAACTTCAAATAAATAATTACAATAATGGCTTCATTATTAGACTTGGGATGGTGACCCGGAGCACAGCAAAATTTTAATTTAAAAAGTTATTTATCACTTTAAAATTTCATCTGTATTTTGTAAAATTCTGCTTTTACATTATATGGTTGACAAAAGATTTAACTACAAACCTTTAAAATTTGAACGTTTAGTGTTCAAAAATGGCTGAGAAATCGATGTTAGAATCTATTAAGACAGGATCGGCATTGTTCGAAAAAAAGAAATTTTCGGGATAGGTGGAGCAGTGAGCAGTGATAAAATTCTGCGTGTACATCGGGAAAATACCAACAAGGGCCCATAAATCCTGTAAACAGTCGGGAAATATAGTATAGAGAACCGTTCTTAAGTATTTAGTTGAAAATAAAATTTTCAGACGGAAGGAACAGTTAACAGGATGACATGCGTGAAGGAAGACCATCATTCAGAGATTGCAGTGCTGTTAAAAGTTAATAAGTTAATTTCGTAACGTGATTTTGCAGTATTTCCTTAAATAAAGTCGTTTATACGCGGACAGAGGTAGGATGACTGCAGGATATGAGACAGGCATTGTTAAATATTCTTTTATGTATGAAACCTGAACATTTTGTGCACTTTTTTTGACTGGTTAAAGCGACATAAGAAATGTATTGAGTTAAACGGTGACTATATTGACAAAAGTTACATGTACTCGTATTAAACTTTTGACGTCATGTAACGTCAAGGATATTGCGTTTTAGTGCTCCGGGTATGAGTTTGTGTCCTTTTTGTTTCTGATAAAAATATAACTGTTTTGCTTTGTTTTTGGTGAAAACTTGCATATTAATAAAATGAATCATGTCTGTCAGTAATTATCAATGTTGTCCACGAACTTTACGGACAACCCTTGTACACTAGGTCTTATATTAAAATCGGTTATGGTTTTAAATCTCTGATATCTATGAAACGCGATTGATTTAAACTGTTTAATTTACAGGAAAGTCCTATCTTTATATAAAGTAATAAAATAAATAGAAAGATCTTTTTTTAATTTTAGTAAGTCTGAACTTACCAAAAATAGGAAACCCAAGTTTTACATTGAAATATATATTGTTTTGTATATTGTTTAACGTCACATTCCAGAATTTTTCACTCATACAGAGACCATCACCGTATGACGGTAAAGGACTTTAAATTTAGACCTATACTCGGCACTCATGGCCTTTGAGCAGTGAGGGTTCCTTATTGTGCCTACGCCTACCGTGACACGGTGCCAACCTTTTGGTTAATATCCGAAAGACCCGTGACTTTCACTTCTACTGCCGAGCGCTTGGCGAAGGAACAGTTACTACCTATGTTAACGTCTTAGGTTTGACGCGGCGCCGCGAACAAGAATCGAACCCGAGCCTCCCGATCACGAAGCGAACGCTCTATCACTAGGCATTGAAATATAAAGGGAAAATCTTTAAAAATCTTTTTCTCAGGAACTAAAGGGTTTGAAAAGTTTAAACTTATGTGTAAGTATCCAGTTTTAGTGTAGATTTTAAATTGTACAAATTATGACACGTGGAGTAAGGTGGGATCACAATATACATTTTTGCATTATAGTGATGGAGACATGAAGATTTATTCAGCCAAGAAAAATCACATTATAATATATGATAAAGAATATGATATTTCTTTTCCAAATAAATCTTCATATTTCCCGAACATTCATGCAATGAATTGTTTATTTAGCGAAACAATCAAAAAAACTTATGATAAACATAGACTTTCAAAATCGGCGCCGCTCTCAAATTCACTTTCATTTTAACGTAAAGTTACTGAAACTCTTTGGAGTTTTCTTTCGACGAACGACAACTATATTGCTGGAAAATACACTTAATGTATCCGAAGAGGTAATGCATGCCAACGACCGTGAAATATGAAGTTTTGTGGCTCGATCATGTTATAATCTGGAACCAATCAGATAACGCATTATGTAGAATAATTATAATAAGTTATAATAATAGGTATTACAAGGGGGAAATCTGGTAATGAACAGTATGGTCAACGATACTCATGTGAGCGATGTGGCTCATGGGCCTCTTGTTAGAGTTTCATTGGGATATGACATAAAGTCGATCATGTAATCAAATTCTAAACTCAGTAATGCCCAAAGGGTGTCAAAGTACATTTGATCACGTATCGACTTCAGGTCGAATACCTAGGATAATTCAAAAAATAGTGTTTATTTTATATATATTTATATTTTACTTTAATGTGTGTTACAAGGAAAAGCAATTGGCACAATTTAGACTTTGCTATTGAAATGCAACATATCGTATCTTTGACGTCATACAACGCCACAACAGGAATTTTCCAAATAGCTCCTGCAGTTTGCTTTCCATGCACAAAAAAATTTGATCTTATGACCAACTGCATGTCAATGAAAATTGAATGTCAATTTTTTTTCGTATTTTCTTGCATGGAAAGACATTGACAAATATAAATATATTTATTAGCTTTCAAATAATTTTACAGAGAAAGTTGCCTTCTTTTCAGATTCATAACAAGAACAAACGACGAGCACAATTCAAGGTTAGATATATTTTGTAAAACAATTATGAAAATTTTATTGAATGTTCAATCAATTGTTAAAGCAAAGCGTGCTACTCATCTGGTTATTTTGTTTATACCTCTCAACTTATTTGCTACTTATGACTTGCTTCGAACATGCTACTTGCCCATAAGTTGATAAATAAAGATTTTACAAGGATTTCCACGACCTCGTTCGAAGATGCATTTTTATAAATTCTTCAGTCGTAATAACGACGTTAGCAAGGTCGTGTTCTGATTGAATTATTTCATATCAATTGTTAAACCTTTGTTTTCATACTGAATTATACCTCATAAAGTTCTGAATACCCGATGAATACATAGGTCTCCATGGCTGGTCTGACCAGTTATAATAGATTATTATACTCCTCATAGATACGTGATCCCACCTCAATAAATTAAAGTCCAGGCTTTTTAATTTCATTCAAGGCTGCTTTTTCAATAAAAATGGAAGTTGTAAAGAATGGAGGCCTACCAGGCGATGTCAATCCCCAGCTCAGAGAAAGACGTTTCTCAATTCTAAAAGATCATGAAAGCTATATTTTTCCAAATTATATGGTCTATATAACCTTTTACACGTTTAATTATGTATTACATTGTTTTAAGATTTTTATAAATAATTTACTTTTTCAATCATGTTTTTAAGATAAGTGAAAACGAAAAGAGAAAGCTTCACGTATAATTCTCACGTAAGAAAAAAAAACTTTTGCTGTTACCTTCAACTCGATATTTAGATATTCATTGGCGACGTATTTTCAATTAACAATGATTTTTTCCATGTTTGTGTGGATACGATACATCCCTATGAGTTTGAGATGAAAGATAGCACAGCGTCTGACACATTTGATGTTTTACTTGAAAA